AGGCTCGGTCTCACCACATAACCCTGGCTGGTCATATACTCAGGACCCTCTGCCTCTGCCTTCAGAGTACGGGTTCCCCCAGCCTATTCCATCAACCTCTCTACCTTGAAATCATTTGAATCATTATGAAAGTTGTGTAATAAAGCAGTGATTTTTTAAAAATAAAATACTAAAATTTCTCTAGGTGGATGGGTAGTTAAAACCTGTGATACCTGTAATGTAAAAAGAGTCTCTTTCCCATACACCAAATAACAAAATGTTTATTATGTAAGGTGTGGGGAAGGCTTGTGGTGTTAACAGATAAGTTTTAAAATAACATTGTCATCTTGGCATAGGAATGAATGTACTGTACATTAAAATGTATGAAATGCAATGACTCATTATAGCATCAGAAATAGACAAAAACCGTTTCCTAAATGAATGTTTGGAATTTATGCCTTTTGCACTGAAAAAAATTGTTGTTTTTTTTTTTACTTCCATGTTTTTGTGTTTAAATGATGAGATGGACCAAAAGGCTTCCAATTGCCGTGTACGTGTGCCATCCTGCAAATTACTAGAGTGGACTCTGACTGTCTTTATTCCCGACAGTGAAAGGTCAAACAGCATGTAATGGCCTCTATAGTTTCCCTTCATGGCTTTGATTTCTGCTATTCAAGAGGCATTGTGATGAGCCACACAAACATTTTGATTAGCTGAGTGCAATTTGTGAGTCTGGAGAATGAAGTTCATCTTTATTCAAATCTATGGAACAGCCATTTTATGGTCCCCATTTGCTTGTTTTATCAAACTTCTTATATTTCTTATTTTTAGCCAGCATTGCATTATGTATTAAGACACATAAATGTTGCTGTACAGAAGCCAAATCCTAAATGGGAAGTCCCTGAGCAGTCACCATGGACAGACAGCTGGTGTCTGAGTGCCACCGTGGGTACTGGTCACAAGCACCCAAGAGCTTCCAAAACGATTCTGTCATAATTGGAAGATCTTCAAAATTATTTTGGGGCTTTTGTTTTTTGTTGGTTAGTTGGTTGCTTTTTGTTTTGTTTTGTTTTGTTTTGTTTTTCGAGACAGGGTTTCTCTGTGGTTTTGGAGCCTGTCCTAGAACTAGTTCTTGTAGACCAGGCTGGTCTCGAACTCACAGAGATCCGCCTGCCTCTGCCTCCCGAGTGCTGGGACTAAAGGCGTGCGCCACCACCGCCTGGCTTGGTTGCTTTCTTGAGATAGGATCTCATGTTGCCCAGGCTGGCCTCACACTCACTGTGTAGCAGAGGCTGGTCTTAAACTCCTGGTCCCCCTGCCTCTGACTCCGCTTCCCAAGTGCTGGGATTACATACATACACCATAGTACCTGGCTTTTAAGCATCCTTTAAAGATTGTTGTTCTTTGAAACTGGAGGGATGACTCAGAGGTTAAGAGCATTTGCTCTCTTCCAGAGGACCCAAGTTCAGTTCCCAACCCCTATGTTGGGCATCTCAAACCCCCCTGTAACTCCAGCTATAGAGGAGCTGAGGCTGTCTTCTGGCATCCGTGTACACTCACGCACACGTGGCATAGACACATAGACACATACACCCACGGTCACATAAATAAAAAACAAATTTAAAAAAGAATTAACGACTTAAAATACACAATGCTACTTTTCTTAAAATGAAAAGATGCCATGGGCTTGGCAGTGGTGACACATGCCCTTCATCCCAGCATTCAAGAGGCAGAAGCAGGTGAATCTCTGTGGGTTCAAGACCAGCTTGGTCCACAAAGTGAGCTCTGTAACAGCCAGAGCTGTAACACAGAGAAAACCTGTCTTGAAAAATTATAGAAGGAGAAGGGGAAGGAGAAGGGGGAGAGAAAGAAAGAAAGAAAGAAAGAAAGAAAGAAAAGATGCCATAGCCACCTATAATAGGATGAACCACCTTGAAGTCTTTCCAGTGTTCTGTGTTTGTCAGTGTCTAAGTACTCTCTACCCATGTGGTTCCTAAGTGCCCCCATCACGTAAGTAAATGACCCTTTGTACTTTTAAGAGAGACAGGTGGAGAGTTCAAGGCTTAAGTTCTAGGGAAGTCTCATGTAAGTGTAAGCAGATAACAGTGTGGAGGATATGTAGCATGATTAATAAAAACCCAGAGACAGATACTGGGATTCAACTTGAAGGTCAGAAAAGCAAAACAGCCAGTCACTGGCTCAGTCTGAAATGGTGATCCTGCCTCCCGGAATCCTCAGAATGAAACTGTGTCTGAGAGCTGTCTCCTCCCATTTTCTATTCCTCTCTAGTGCTGGAATTAAAGGCATGCACTGCCCAGTTTCTATGGCAAACTAGTGTGACTATTGGGATTAAAGGTGTGTGTCACCATTGCCTGGTCTCTAAGGCTGACTGGTGGGGCTGTTTTACTTTTCTGAACTTCAAGCTAGCTTTATTTACTAAAATACAAATGAAATACCACTACAAGGATACCTGAAGTGAAGGAGCATGGGGCCTCTGGTGGTTTGAATGACAATGGTCCATAGGGAGCAGCGTATTAGGAGGTGTGGCCTTGTTGGAGGAAGTGTGTTGATGGGGGTGGGCTTTGTGGTCTTAGATGCTCAAGCCAGGCCCTCTGTCTCTCACTCTCTTCCTGCTGCCTGTTGATCTGGATGCAGAACTCTCAGCTGTCTTTCCAGCACCATGTGCTGCCAAGCTCTGAACTGTAAGCCAGCCCCAATTAAATGTTTTCCTTAGAAGAACTGTCCTGGTCATGGTGCCTCATCACAGCAATAAAAACCCTGACATAGACAGTGCCCTTCTCTGTTTATTAAGTCAAAATAAAGAAATGGTAAGAGCTGGTTGGATTATAAAAAAATCAAGAGATTGGTAACATCCAGTGTTGATGGAAATGTGGGAAAAGGGACTTCTTATTTACTTTGGTTTTTATTTTAAATTATTTTATTTTATATGTATAGGTATTTCACTTGCATGTATGTGTGGGCTTCGGAGGTCAGAAGAAGGCTTCAGATTCTCTGGAGCTGGAGTTAAAGATGGTTGTGAGCCACCATGTGGGTGCTGGGAATCAAACCTGGGTCCTCTGGTAAAACAGCCAGTGCTCTTGACCACTGAGCCTTCTCTTTAGCCTCTCTATCAAAGTTTTAAATACACATAATCACTGATGCAACAAATTCCATCTGGTACTGTCATGTAGACACACCTGAACTTGGGAACAACTAGAACTGTCCAGTTTAAGATGTGCTGTATTGTAAAATGTACCACTATCATCAGTAAAAGGAAATTATTACCTTTTAAACACAGTACCATGACCTGTACCATAGGGTCTCTTAGAATTTTCATCTTTACTTATTAAAGCAGTTCCTTTAGCGAGATGCACAGTTTTAAATAATGCATCCCTTTTGGTGCATACTGCTTTCATCTTAGCTTTTAGCAACATAGTTTCTTCTCCATAGGAAGCAACAAGGAGAAAAACTGCTCAGTGTGCTTAGAGCGTAGGGGCTAGGAGCATTGGGTGCTGAGAGCACAACCTTGGGAGTTCATTTTTGACCTTACAAAGATTTCTTGTTTTTTTATTTTTTTTTGTTGTTGTCTTCCTTCCTTCCCTCCCTTCCTCCCTCCCTCCTTCCCTCCCTCCCTCCCTCCTTTCTTTCTTTCTTTCTTTCTTTCTTTCTTTCTTTCTTTCTTTTTGGTAGTTACAGAATTCCTGACTCCTATCAGTAGGAGAGGGAGTTGAGAAGCTGATACATCCAGCTAGTGTGACCGCATTACATTCTCCAGAAGAGGATTGTTCTAGAGTGACAGACCAGCGAACATGAATTGTGACTGCCACAGACAATCTGACCACATGGCCACCCTAATCACTGGCCATTCTAACCACAGTTCCTTTTTATATTACAATGCATGAATACATAAAGTAGATTTGGGAAAGCTCTTCTTTGATGTTTTAAACTGCAAGGACACAGAGGATGGTGTAGGAGGCACATTATCACTCCTCCTCCCTCTCTGCCCCGCAGTGCTGGAGCTGAGGACCAGACAACATTGGTCCTCCATCTTCTGGCGCCCTCTCTGGCCTTGTCAGCAAAGGTGCTAGAGACCACTACAGGGGCTTCTCGCCTTCTGCCCAGTGCTTTCCCTCTGCCTCCTATGGCTCAGTTGCCAGTGGGTGGCTTCTCACTTGGGATTGGACGACACACGTTGCCCACACACCCGCAGCTTTAGCCTGCAGCTCTTTAGCCAGCTTCTCCGCCATCCAGTGGGCTGCCTCCATACCTTCACCTGTGAGCCCTGGGGCCCAGAAGATGCTGGAGGGAGCGCCCACTCCTGCCATTAACATCGAGTTCTGGTTCTTCTGCATCCTCATCAATACCTGGTGTTAGACCTTCATGTGAGCTCCTCCTCTGGGTTTCCCAGTGTAGATTTAGGGATACTGAGCATTTCTGGGTGTCCTTACTGTCCATTTGCATTTTTTTAGTGCTGGTAACAGGAATCAAACCCAGAGCCTTATGTGTGTGAGGGACCTGCTCTACCTCTGAGCTATGCTCCAGACCCCACTCACACTTCATAGTAAACGGGCGTTCGGATGGTTTGTTTACGTTTCTTCTGTTCATTTATATCCTTTTGTTTTGTTTGGATCTTTTCAGGAGATTGATGATAAATTCTTTTATTTTTAGTATATATGTGGGGTGCGTGTGTATATGCAAGTATATAGTAGAAGCTGCAGGCTGCGTTCCTGCCGCCCGGCTCCCAGCCACTGGCTAGCGTATGCCCCAAAATAACAACAACAAACTGTATTCATATAAACACTGCTTGGCCCATTTCTATTAATGTGTGTAGCACCACGAGGTGCGCTCACCAGGAAGATTCTAGCCTACGTCCATCCTGGGTCGGAGCTTCATCGTGTCTGCCCCAGAGAGCAGCAGCATGGCGCCTCAGCTCACTTCCTCTTCCTCCCAGCATTCTGTTCTGTTTACTCCACCCACCTATGTTCTAACCTATGAGGCCAAGCAGTTTCTTTATTAACTAACCAATGACCTTCCCACATCACAAGTATATATGTGCCATGACACATGCAGATGTCTTCAGCTTGCAAGACTTCATTCTCACCTCCCACCGTGGATTCTGGGAACTGAACTCAGGTTGTCGAACTTTTTTATTTTTTTAAATTATGTATGTGACCTAATGACTCTCAGAATCCCATGATACCTGGACTACAAGAAATGTCAAGGTTAGCCTGGTCCACAGCATCCCAAACTCCCAAGACTCTACACACACCCCCTCTCATCCGAGTCATGCGGAACTATGTCATGAAGAGGGAGGAATGGTAGAATATTGGGGTCCCTGGGTTCTGGAGAGATGTTCAGTGGTTAAGTACACTTGCTGTTCTTGCAGAAGAGCTGGGTTCAGTTCCTGGAACGCACATGAAGGCTCACAACCATCTATAACTCCAGTCTCAAGAGATCTGGTGAGGACATCAGGAAGGCAGGTAGTACACATATATTCCTGGTTAATATACTTCATATTCCTGGTGAATACACACGTGTATCCTGGCTAATACACTTCAGTTAGCAAGAACAGTTAGTGAGAAGTGTAACTACAGAAGCCAAAAAGCAAGGTTAGTACATTTAGGGACTTTCCCAGATCCTGAAACTATGGACCAGGTCTTTGATGGACTGGGTCTTTGTTCCTGTTTTGGTGGGTATCGGGGCCTCCATGCTGGCTTCTAAGATGAGAATGGTGCCTCCAACATGGCGTTAGTTGTGCTAAGGTCTCGGGACCTGCTATACCCAAAACAAAAACCACAGTATGGTCATGGAAACGCCATATCTGTTTTCTCAGTTAACTGAAGCCACTCCCATTTAATGGCATGCAGGCATAACCATTTCATTTGCTCCTGCTGCGTCGGGTCAGTGATTTGAACTGTATTCTGCAAGGCAAATCAGCCACCTCCCCTGGGGTCATCACAGCAGACCTAACACAGTTGGCCCTTGGCCACTTCCTCACATTTGCATCTTCCAGGATGCTAGCCCAGACTTCCGCACAGGGGGGCAGCAGTGTGCCAGATGATGCCTGGGCAGTTACAAATCTGTAACCAGCCTCAGAAATTCCAATTTGTAGCCAGCTACCTTCTCTGCAACTGGCCTGAAGTTGGGAAAGTCTTACGGGGCTGATCAGGCTTGAGCCTGTGGGTCTGATACTGTCTCCATGCAGATAGAATGGATTTGATGTCCACACTGCTATAATCTGCTTGTGTGCTAGTTGGGAGAAACACCCCACACAGTCAGGATTACAGAGCTGAACTATGTTGTGAGAGTACAATAGAAGACTCGAGTTTGGCTTGCTTCCCCCCTATTCACCAGCATAGTTCACGAGGTAGTCCTTTTATCCTCAGAAAGTTATTTGTTCTTACATATTTGATGGGTAGAGAAAGGGAGACAGATAGACCAACGGGGTCCAAGTGACTGACACACCAGCTCAGTCTATGGAGGACTAAGGGAGCAGCTGGTTGTCAATAGCCATGTTCAGTCAGACCTAGGAGTATCTAAGGCTCCCCATGACCTGGCTCACCGTGCAATCCAGGGGGTCTAGCAGTACCCCACCCAGCAAGCAAGAACGCCTTGATGGGCTAGGAGCCCAGGGTTGGTGTTGTTTTCTTCTGATTCCATGCCACAGACGAGCTTCTGTATAGAGGAAAGAGAAGGCAACTGAGAGCAGCCGATTTGATCTTGATTATTAACTTGATGGGATTTACAGTCACCATGGAAACAAGCTTCTCGGCATGTCTGTGCAGGAGTTTCTAGTTAATTGAGCTGGGAAGGCTCACACGAAATGTGGATGGTACTAGTCTGTGAGCTGGGGTTTCAGGCTGACTAAAAAGGAGGGCAGTAGCTGAGTACCGGCATTGGTCTTCCTTCACTTCCTGACTGTTAATACAGTATAAATGGCTGCTTCAAGCTCTTGCCACCATGACCTTTCCACCAAGAGGGAATGGAGGGAATGGACTCTAAGAGCCAAAATACATCCTTTTCCTTTCCACAGTAGGCAAAGTAACTAATACAAACAGGTAAGATCCAGAATAGATCAAGGATCAATATCCCGAAGGCCCTAATCAATCAGGAACTAATCAATAGCAGAACACATGGATGAAAGGGGAACTGTTGGGGTTTTTTATGCTGAAGTCATCCAGATAATGAGAAGGTTTGCCCATGGAATCCTAGAATAATCTTTTATCTACACAGTCCAAAATTAGAGTGGGCATCTTTTGTTTTGTTTTGTTTTTTGCATTTTTTTAAAGACTTATTTATTTATTATGTATACAACATTCCTGCAATGTATGTTTGTATGCCAGAAGAGGGGACCAGATCTCATTATAGATGGTTGTGAGCCACCATGTGGTTGCTGGGAATTGAACTCAGGACCTCTGGAAGAGCAATCAGTGCTCTTAACCTCTGAGCCATCTCTCCAGCCCTGCATTTTGTTTTTTTGAGACAGGGTTTCTCCATATAGTTTTGGAGCCTGTCCTGGTTCTTGCTCTATAGACCAAGTTGGCTTTGAACTCACAGAGATCCGCCTGCCTCTACTCCTACATGCTGGGATTAAAGGCGTGCGCCACCACTGCCTGACTAGAGGGAATCTTGATGGTGATTATACAACTGTATCTTAGCCTGAATTGAGAGCATTCCTATCCCAAATTTTACTTACAGCCTCACTTATTCACATTATTTGGTTGCATAAATTAAAATACAGAGTAACTACCATTCTGTCCTTTGTAGTATGAAATAGAACATCTGCTGGTTTCCAAACAACCCCCTCCGTTGGTGTGAATTCATCCGCCCACCTACCTACCCAGCCCTCCCTCCATTTAATAACACCCAAAACAATCCTAATACATCATAGATCACTATGTAGCCTGTGTCTTTGTTTACACCCCCTCTGATTACTTATAGATTGGAAACGAAAAGAAGGGAGTTGGAGTTATTTAGGTACCAAAGAATACTCTGGAAGGAAATGTTTAGCAAAAATGTGCTAAATAAATATCTGCAAAGATAAAGGTGTAGAAAAGGGAAAGGGTGGTAGGGCGGAAACAGGAAATGCCCTGCTTGGTGGGTGAGATTCTTGCCGAATATCTCTCTGGGTTTTTGACTTAAACCGGGGGAGCTGCTAAGTCTAGGAAGTAGAGAAGTAAGTCTGCCCGTGTTAGGCTGCAGACAAGGGCAGGTGGGCATTAAGACCACAGAGGAAGACACTAGAAGTTCCTCTATCCAGTGGCTCTCAACATTCCTAACGCCTCAACCCTTTAACGTAGTTCTTCGTGTTGTGGGGACCCCAACCATAAAATTATTTTCATTGCTACTTCCTAACTGTAACTTTGCTCCTGTTATGAATAATTAATGTAAAGATCTGATATGCAGGATATCTGATATATGACCCCTGTGGAAGAGTCGTTGGACCCCCAAAGGCGTGACCCCCAGGTTGGAAACTGCCGCTCTGTGGTCTGCATTCTGATGTCAGAGGCCTGAGACAGTTTCTTCTCCCCCACCCACTCATTTCTCTCGTTTATTCCCCTCCAGTTTTCCCAAGAATTCTGAGTCCTGAAGGGAGAGGGGAAAGGCAGGTGATCGGTCATACACCCCCACACCCCACTCCCCTCTCCATTCCCACACTCACATCTAGGTCTGCCCCAGGACAACGTGGGCTGAGGAGCCTCCTGCCTGGCAGGCTAGAACACCCAGGACCATCTTCACCTGTCCGTGGCTTGAAGCATGCAAGGGTGGTTTGTGGTGGCCCCCATCTGTAATCCCAGCGCTGAGAGGAGAGGATAGAGTTTGAGGCTAGCCTGAGTTACACAAGTTGGCCAACACCCTGAGTAACAAGGTGATCCCTTGTTTCAGAAACAAAACCAGATGACAAAATCCAAAAAGAACATGCAAGTGAGTGGGGGACAGGGAAGCTCAGTGACAAGCTTGCCTAGCAACCCGAAGGCCCTGGTTCGATTCCCAGTAGAGGGACAAAGAGCTCAGAACAGCATAGGGCACCTCATTCACGCCCTCTACTGCCCAATCCTGAGGCTGCTTCAGTTGGACGGAGCCTCAACTGCAAAGCAGGGTGCACCGGAACAGCTTCTCACCTAGGGCCCGTGTCTAAGCCACTACACTCTGCAGGACACCAGCCTTGAACTCAGTGCTCCGGAAGAGACCGGATGCCGGCGGGAATTGCCTCCAGTGATGGCTTCCCTGTGCTCACTGTCGCCCTCAGTGCGCCTTGCGCTCTAAGCCTCGGATTTTCAAACCTTTATTTTCCCTATCACAATATTTCCTTAGGGGAGGGGGGTCTCTAGGAGAACTGAAAGCCGGGCATCCTGCATCTTACTCGGGCCAAGTAGGTACCAGAATCCCTCTTCGGACCCAAGCAACTAGATGCCCAGAGGATGCTGGCCAGGTCCCAGGAGGCGGGTCTGGTCTGGGGTTTTGTTCCCGGCTCTGGAGGGCCCGCCCACTTCGGTAGGCAGGGGCAGGGATGAGGTCCGGGTTCAGGACCTGAGGGTTCATACCCAAGAGTCACACAGCAAGGTGGCAGGGGTTTGCTCCGCTCTTTGTCCTCCGGGAGGTTAATTAAAGAGGTGACCCACAGGAGGCTGGGCAGACTGACCTCTCCAACTGCCCGATTGCCTGGCAACACGCGGTGGGCAGAAGAGTCCTGCCTGCCGACCATGGAGCACCGTGTGAAAGTGAAGTCCTGGGTAGAAGAGAATCGGGCCTCCTTCCAGCCCCCGGTTTGCAACAAGCTTATGTGAGTCCCCAGCACCCGTGACTTCTACCCACCCCTTTTCTTGTTCCTCTTCCCCCTCCTCTTCCTTTTTCAATCCCCTCCCGCTCCGGCCTGGAGTTCCCCCACCGCTAGAAGTGTGCCCAAAGGGGTTTGCCATCCACCTGGTTCTTTCAGGCGAGGGTGAGGACTGGCTGTTTCAGGTTTCAGTACCTCAGTCTGTTCCTCTTTCTGAAGACCACAGTAGAGACGGTGGCTTTGACTTCTGAGTCTGACTTGAGTGTCTCTGAGGCTGTGAGAGATGAGGTGGCAGGATGCGACATTCCTTCCGTGACTGAAAGCAACCATACACCTTGGGAAAATCAGGGTTTTCAATGCCCCAGACTAGAATTTAGGAGCTGGAGACAGCTGGACCACACACCTCAACCCTGGCAAACCCTGAAGCCACGGTGTCAGAGCACCATTTTCTTTGGGTGGTGTGTGTGGAGGGGGGGGGGGCGGTCTCCATAGCCTAGCCTGGCCTTAACTCACTATGTAGCTAATAGTGGGCTTGAACTCCCAATCTTCCCGCTTCCACCTCCAAGTGCTCTTTCTGAGGTGCTGGGGGTAGGACCGCAGGGCTTCTCATATGCTAAGCAAGCACGTTTCCAAACTGAGTTACACCCCTAACCATGGGAGTTCTTCAGGCCCTCCCAGGCCTTCTTACCTATAGCACAACTGACCTGTTCACTCTGCCTTTCAGCTCAGACTTGCCACTCCATCACCGTCCTCTTCCTCCCTCATCTCCACAGCTGAGCTCCCTAAACCCCCACCCCAGTGATCCCCATATTTGTGTGTCTTTAAGTCATTTCCAATGGGTGATGTCCTAACTGAGACAGCTACAGCCACTTACCCTCGGACAGGAGGATTAGGCCAAGTCTATACACATCATCTCATTGAGTTCTCACAGCCGTCCACATGGGGTGGGATTTAATAAGTAACTTTCCCCAGTGTCACAGAGCTAGCAAGGGACAGAGTCCACACGCAAGCCCAAAAACAGTTTGACTACAAAGTCCACAGACACCCTTGGTCACTACGCAATACCCCATAGCCAACCGTTACCTCCTCCCCTTGAAGCCCCTCTCTCCTCTCTCTTCTACCTCTGCCATCCCCTCTAGCTTGGAGATTTATCATTTTTGCTGCCTTCCTCCACTTCATCCCTGTCTTTAGTCTCACAAGGCATAGCCTTGAGAGGACAAGGAGGAGTTGGAGGAGTGTAAATGAGAGACTCTGAATCTGTCCGTGTCACTCTGGTCAGTAGTGACTCCCTCACCTCCAGCCCTGCCCCCAGCCTTCCAGCCCTCTAGAACTCCTAGGTCAATCATAACAATCACAGGACCTCCCTTTATTCAACCAGGAGATATTTGTTGAACACCATGATGCGCTGGACTTTGGAGAATCGGCAGGAAGCAAACTGACAAGATGCCTTCCTTGTAGAAATAAGATTCTTGGGAAAGGGGATGTCAGTCAGTGTGAACAGGCCTTGGCGGTAATCCTCTATCAGTGGGAGGGCTGAGTTTTCACGGAATCTGTGCCATGCCTGGCTCTAGCTTCTGATTCTTTGCTGGCATCAGCGACATTCCTTGGTTTCAAATGCATGATCCCAGCATCCACTTCATCTTCACAGACCCTCCCCTATTGGGAGTCTCCATGTCCAAATTTCCACTCTAGAAACTTCACTTATGGAGCTGGAGAGATGGCTTAGTGGTTCAGAGCAGTGGCTGCTCTTCCAGAGGACCCGGGTTTAATTCCTAGCACCCACGAGGCAGCTAACAACTGCCTGTAACACCCTCATACAGACATGCATGCAGGCAAAACACCAATGCACATTTTATTTATTTATTTATTTATTTATTTAAGATTTCTGCCTCCTCCCTGCCACCGCCTCTCATTTCCCTCCCCCCGCCTCTCATTTCCCTCCCCCTCCCCCTCCCCCAACCAACTTCCCCTCCCTCATCAGCCCAAAGAGCAGTCAGGGTTCCCTGCCCTGGGAAGTCCAAGGACCTCCCACCTCCTTCCAGGTCTAGTAAGGTGAACATCCAAACAGCTTAGGCTCCCACAAAGCCAGTATGTGCAGTAGGATCAAAACCCAGTGCCATTGTTTTTGACCAATGCACGTTTTAAACAAAACTCACTTACATTGCACTGAGCAAAACACAGCTGGAACTGTCGCCTGCTCCTGGTCAGGACTCCTATCTCCTCACGGTATTGTCTTTCTCTTTTGTCCCATCGACACTGCCCCCTACTGCAACAAGATGCCATAAAGCACTGTTAGACAGGCTCTGGGGTTCACACCCAGCTCTCATCCCCTATGACTGTGTGATGTGAAATGTAGCTCACTCCGTTACGACTTACTATACCTGCAACAGCCCTGTTTCTGAATAGGTTCACCTTCTGAGGTCTTGGGGGTTAGGACTCCACTATAAGAAATGGACCAGTTAGAGGATTCAACCTGTAACACCTCCAGAGAGATTTTGCATTCTGATTGGGAGGCGGGGGGGGGGGGGGGGGAGGTCATAGTTCTCAAACTTGTTCCAGAACTTTTTGTATATATCCTAGTAAAGTCTATTAATAAAAGGCCAAAAAAATGGCTGAAGGGATGGGTCAGTGGGTAAAGGCACTTGCCCTCACAAGCCTGAAGGGCAGAGTTCAATCTCTAGGATCCATGTGATAGAAAGAGGGAATTGATTCTCAAAAGCTGTCCTCTGACCCTTATACTTAACAGCTTATGAGATCATCACTGGGAGAAGCCAGAGAAGGAACCTGAAGGCAGGAACTGGAGCAGAAGCCATGGAGGGGTGCTGCTTGCTGGCTTGCTCCTCCTGGCTGGCTCAGCCTGCTTTCTTATAGAACCCAGGACCACCAGCTCAGGGATGGCATCACCCACAGTGAACTGGGCCCTCCTCCCACCAATCATCAATGAGATGTCTGGCTCATAGACCAGATTGATGGGGGCACTTTCTCAGTTGAGGTTTGCTCTTCCCAAATGACATAAAACTATCTGGAGCAAAAAAAAAAAATAACAATAATAATAAACCTATGATATGAATTAAAGTCACCTGTCCAGATGAGGGAGCTAAACCCCAATAAAGTCAACTAACATGCTCAAGATTGCAAGAAAGCTAAACAGGAGGCTGGCTCCCGTGCTGTGTTTTGGAACACATGTCACACATGTGTCTGTTTCCCCTGCTAGAGGTCGCAGTCTCCTGAGTCCCCTGAGTGTGGTCCCTAGTAATGCCGAGTCTCACAAGCAGACAGGTCGGGGTCTCCCCTTAGTTCTCCTGTCACTGGGATCTTGAGTTTGGCCCAGAGCCGTGAAGAGTGATGCTTTCCCATGCTGCTTCCTTGTTGGTCAGAAGGCATGGAGACACACAACCACACACAGTGACACTTAAATGCATGAGGAACAACCTGGCCGTGAAGGGGGGGGGTCTGTCTTTCCCCAGATGCACGCACCAGGCCTCCTCCTGCACCCAAAGGTCCCTGTTCTCCTCCTCTCATTCGCAGGAGTTGATTCAGGTCCTGTTCTTGCCTCTTTACCGCAGGCACCAGGAGCAGCTCAAAATCATGTTCGTGGGAGGCCCCAACACCAGGAAGGATTATCACATTGAGGAGGGTGAGGAGGTAGGTTGTGCATGCTTGCCCTTGCCATCCTGTTGTACTTCTGGGGGAGCAGACACTTCCATCCCAGCGCTAGAGCGAGTGGCCCAGGGAAGAGCAAATATGACTGCCACAGGAAGGAAAAATGGCTGCCTTAAAATTGGGGTGTCTGCAGGTGTACCTTTGATTGCCTTGTGCTCCGGGAACTCTACTGGGGAGGCCCTGTGATTGACAGGCTCTTGCTGTGGGGTCTCCACTTTCATGGACATGTGGAGGTCTATACTAATGATACTTCTCTTTTAACCTGAATACACATGATTGGTCTCTCATATGAGACACAAACCCTGAGGGATTCCATTGTACTCTGATTCCAGAAGCCAGGCTCTCTCTCTCTCTCTCTCTCTCTCTCTCTCTCTCTCTCTCTCTCTCTCTGTGTGTGTGTGTGTGTGTGTGTGTGTGTGTGTGTGTGTCACATAACGAGCAAAGTGTCTAAGAACACAAGGAAGTGGAAGGGAAGTGTTGGGTGGAAAGATGACAAGGGGGAAAGAGAATGATTGGTGCTGAAGAGGGAGCAGGACAAGGTGGCCCTTCTTACTGCTGGAGAGGACCAGTCCTGAGTTCCTAGGGGCTATGACGAGTCGGAGTCTGGAGACTGAATTCTGTGCTTTTCCACTCACTTACTGAAGCCGTATCCTACAAAAAGCAAAAGCTAAGTGTGATGACACATACCTGTAATCCCAGCTTTCTAGAGGCGCGGTAAGGAGGATCAAGAGTTCAAGGACAGCCTAGGACACTTGTTTGAAGAGAAGAGGAGCAGGAGGAACAGGAAAAGGAAGAGGAGGAGGAGAAGAGGAGGAGCATCAGGAAGAGACAACAACAACCACTACCACCCCTCCCAGGAAATAGATCCCCAGTACAGATCTGGATGTGGTGGGAAAGGATCACCGTAAGGTGCCCCTTATTTCCTGGGAGACCTGGTTCTGGGCTTTGAACCTCCACCCGCATCACTGACATTCCCCACACCAATCTAGGACTGCTCACATAAACCCTTGAGAATTGCTCTGTCAGAAAATACTGAGGGCCCAGTGTGTGTGTTGGACACCAGCACACTAGGCAGAGGGTGACGGCCCTGCGGCAGTGGCCTGAGTGAGCAGAACCAGTTACACACACACACACACACACACACACACACATCTTTTCCCGACCATTAAACTCTGAAAACCTTTTCTGTGATTAAAAAAAAAAAAGATATGAAAATCTAAAACTACAGAGGGAGGCGGGTCATGGCTGAGTGGCTGTGGTGACTGAGGCCCAGCTAGCTTTTCCTGCTTGCCTGTCTCTACTCTAGGGTAAGCCTGCTGTCCGTGTCCACCCCGCCTGCCCCTGATCCATCTCTCTCATTCTTCTTTGCATACTCATCTCAGGGTCTCTCCATGCTGCTCAGGTGGGTGGGTGTCTGTAACAGCTGGTTTGGATGTCAGCTTGACACAGGTCATTGGAGAGCAAGGGAGTCTCTACTGAAAAAATACCTTGCCAGGCGGTGGTGGCACACACCTTTAATCCCAGCACTCAGGAGGCAGAGGCAGATGGATCTCTGTGAGTTTGAGGCCAGCCTGGTCTACAAGAGCTACTTCCAGGACAGGCTCCAAAGCTACAGAGAAACCCTGTCTTGAAAAAAGAAAGAAAGAAAGAAAGAAAGAAAGAAAGAAAGAAAGAAAGAAAAGAAAACCTCAGTAAGATCTGGCAAGCCTCCTGGGCATTTTCTTAATTAGTGGGAGGGCCCAGCTCATGGTGGGTGGTGCCATCCCTGGGCTGCTGGTCCTGGGTTCTATAAGAAAGCAGGCTGAGCAAGTCAAGGGAAACAAATCAGTAAGCAGCACCCTCTATGGCCTCTGCATCAGCTCCGGCCTCCAGGTCTCTGCTCTGTTGGAGCTCCCGCTCTGCCTTCCTTCACTGATGAACTGATGCAGAAGTGTAAGCCAAACAAGCCCTTTCACCCCCAAGCTGCTTTGGTCATGGCGCTTCATCATAGCAATGACAGCTGTAAGTAATACAGTGCCCACGAGTCCCGGGGACACTCGATGTCTGGATTCATCTGGTGGCTGAGTGATGAAAAGGGCTGGCTTCAATGTGGAGGGACAGCTTGGTGGCTCTGAGAACTCTAGCTGGAGGTAGGTTTGTGATATTTGGACTTACTGTTTGGCAGAAGGGCAGAGGTCAGTGCCTCCCCAGTCCCTGGGCAGCGTCAGAGCACAGCACAGGCTCGGCACCCTCTCTGTCCTTGCCTGTCCTCACTGGAGCCTGAG